GCGAATCGTAGGCCTGCGCCTTGCCATAGAAGCTGACGATGTGCTTCAGGATGTTGGCATCGCTCTGCCAGTCCAGGGCCTGCAGATAGTTGGCGGCCATGATGTAGATCTCGCGCTGTCGCGACATCGTGGCGAAGAAGATGATCTTGTCGGTGTTGCCGGACTTGAGCAGAGATTTCATGGCGCGCACCTTGTCGCCGGCCTGGGTGAACTTCTTGGTGGCGCTGTGGTAGTCGCCCTGCTGCTGCAGCAGCTCGCCCAGCTGCACCAGGATGCTGATGCGTGTCGGCTCATCGAAGTTCGCCTTGTTGGGCGTCAGCAGGTCGGCTAGCTCCTCCGTCACCGGCACGCCCTTCTCCAGGCAGATGCTCAGAGCACGCTCCAGATGCTTTGTCTTGGCCAGCAATTGGACCGCCTTCTGGTGCTGCTCGATGCTGGCAAAGAAGTCTGCACAGCGATTGATCAGCTCCGCATCCGACTCGGTGCTCAGCTCCGTGGCAATAATCTCCAGTATCTCCGGCTGTTGCGATTCGAAGGCCATTTCCAGCGCCTTGTGGAGCATGCCGGCGCGATGATAAAGCTCGACGGCATACTTAAAATTGCCGCACTCCTCGAAGTAGGCCGCGGCGATGGCCTTGTCGCGGCTGCGCGACGAGCTGGCCACCGTCCAGAGCTCCTCCTGAAAGTCATTCTCCTTGCAGATGCGTATGGCATTGCTGAAGGTCTGGGCGCGCGTATAGAACATGATGGCCTCCTGGAACTTGCCCAAGTTCTCGTAATGCCTGCCCAGATGATAGCAGGCGGCGCGATCGCCCGACTGTCTGGCTATGGCATCCGCCTTGGAGATCTTGCCCAGATAGCAGAGTATCTTCACCTGCGAGAACCAATCCTCGGCTTTGCTGTACACAGCCAAAGCGGCATCCATGTCGCCCGAGCTCTCCACATATTGGCCCCACCATTTGAGCATTTTGGGATCGCTGGTGGTTTGTATGTAACGCTTCATGGCCATGGGATTCTCGAGCAGCAGCTGTGTGATATGCTGCACGGGATTCTGTGTCTTCTCGTAGTACTCTAGGGCGCCATTGATGTCGCCGCGTTCGCGCAGTGCCTGTGCCTTCTGGTAATACGTGTGCTTCAGATGGATGCGATCCTGCGTCTCGGCCACTTGGAGTGCCTCGTCCAGCTGGCCGGTGGCCTGCAGCAGCTTGTTGAGCAGATCGTGGCGCTTGCAGCGCTTATACAGCTCCTTGGCCTCCTCAATCATGCCCAGCTCAATGGCCAGCACGGCGACCTTGGCCTCCGGCTCGAGATCATCATCCTTGATGGCCTGGCGGAGAGCGCGCACCGAGCGTGCCTGCTCCAAATGACCCAGGCACACCTTGGCCACGTCCAGGTGGTTGGTGTGCACGCACATCTTCGCCAGATTCGTCCAGATCACCTTGGACTGTATGGAGCGGACACAGCGAAAGGCCAAGTCCATTTGCCCCTCGGCCACGTGCAGACTAAAATTGAGCACCTGCCGCCGGGTGCTGGCATCGCACTGCTGCAGATCCACGAAATCCTTTAGCGGCTGCTCCTGCACAGCATTCACCTGCAGGCAAACTACGCTGGGGACGCACAGATTCAGCAGCTGGGCGCCGGCACTCATCGCCTGCGACTCGAGCACATTAAGCTTGCCCTCGCCCTTCTCCGAGTAGAACATGACCAGCACCTGCGATTCCACATAGTGACTGGGAGTGGGCTGCTGATTCGGCTGCCGGACGATGGGCTTCTGCGCTAGCATCACCATGGACTTGACCTCCACGGCAAGCAGACGGGGCTCTTCCGTATCCCAGAAGAAGCGCACAGCCAGACTGGATTTGCTGCCGTTTTGCGTGTCATTCTCCGGCTCCAGCTTGACCAGGTCGTGCTCGAAGAGATTGTTGCGTTCAAAGTCCCAGCAGTAGACGGCAGCGCAGGGCTGGAAGCTGCTGTTGGCTATCACCAAGGCCAGGTGGCTGCCCAAGCTGTTGCACTTGACCAAAATGAATTCGCCAAAATCATCGAATATCTCGTGTCCGGATTTGCTGGGGAACATCAGCTTGGGATCATGCCGGCTGACATCGTACGCCTTGACATAGCCGTTCATGGTGAACACGGACAGATAGCAGCCGGTCAGATCCATGCCAATAATTTTTCCCTCGATATCATTGCCCAGCATCCGGTGGAGCACAACGCCGCCCACGGAATAGATGACTATATCGCTGGCGCTCAGGCAAAAGATGTTCTGATTGTGCAGGCACAGGGCCAGACACTCGGCGGCAAAGGTTTGCATCAGCCGCACATTCAGTGCCGGCGAGCTCTTCACCGAGGCACTGGAACCGGCGCCCGAGGCCTCCAGTATTTCATCAAACTCGTCCAGGCTCTTCTCAATCTTCTGCAGACTGTACGAGGATATGGAGCGTCCGTTGCTCACGACCAGGCTGAGGTCGTTTAAGGCCAGCGCAGTTACCGCAAAATCCGCCTGCACCGTGCACTGACGTCCGCTGCAGTGCGTCAGCTGGACGGACTTCGCGGAGCACTGCACCGCCCAGAGGCTGCGCGTGTGGCTGGCCAGCAGGGGCTGCTCCTTCAACATGAACACACTCGACAGACAGTTGACCAAAATGCACGGCTTGGCCAGCTCATTGTAGCCCCACGAACAGCTCTTAATGGCACCCTGCCGCGCCAGCGTCGATATGTTGCCCAGCTGCCAGGCATCCTCTAGTGCGCTGACAAAGCAGCTCACCGTGCGCTTCCAGGTGTACAGATTGCCAAGATTGGTGGCCGCGCACAGGGTCTGATTGCTGTTGCTGTAGGCGAGGCAGGTGAACATTTCGTTGGAGTTAAGCTGGGCGTGCCTGGACATCTTGCGTGGCACAATGTTGTTGCTATTGCTCTCCACGCTCGTCTCGTGGCTGAAGAAGGCATTGCTGTTGCTGTTACTGTTGTTGTTGATGGAGGAGCTGGCGGTCAGGTTGAACGCATTGCCTAGGCTGGAGCTGGGTAAATCCATTTTAAGCAGATAATTATCACTGCGTTCAATGTCCCAGATGCGCACGGAAAGATCGCCCGTGATGATGGCCAAGCTATTACCCGCCCAGGCGATGGCGCCATGCTGGTTCAAACCGCGCCCGCTCAGCTTGACACGCTCCAGTTCCGTCAAGATGCCCGTCGACTCCACCAAGTACAGCGTGATGGTCAGGTCATCCAGCAAACAAATGACCGCATCCCTAAAAGAAATATTAAAGGCATTATTTCATGAGCAAATGGGAGCAGGATGATGTGCCCACTTCTTGGGATGCCACAGCATTTGCAGAATACTCGGCTGTTGCGGTCCGCTCTTGAGCACCTCGCTGCAGCTGCCGCCCTGATTGATATAGTAGGCCACGCCGCCCTGCGTGCACGCATAGAAGCAGTGATTGTCTCGGACACCCGAGTGACCACGCGCCGCAGTGCGCGGCCGCCAATTGGTGAGCGTGTCCAGCGCATTCTCATCGCCAGCGACCGCTGCCTTGGCCAGACTGGCCATTTCCTCGCGCACCTCGCTTTCGACGGTGCGTCGAAAGCAGATCAGGAGCAGAGCCTCGCGCAGATCATGCGAGAACATGGTCAGAAACTGATATTGGCCATCGCAGCGCCAGCCGGTGACCAGACCCAGGGCATCCGCCGTGACCATGCGGCCGCCCTGTTCGCTGAACTCCAGCAGGACAATGGCCGCCTTGTGGGGGCCGCTAACGCTGGCGAATTCCCGATGGCCGGCAAACCAGACGTGTATATCGCCATGCTCCCAGCCGGTGGCCAGCAGCGCCTTCTCCGGATGCCAGCACAAGGCCGTTGCCTGCGAGGTGGCGTGCACCGGATACGTGACATCCCGCTGCGGTTCGCCCTGAAAATGAGGAATCAATGTGAGTAAAGAAAAAGTTAATTCCACAGCAAAACTCACTGTATCCGCAAAAATGGTTACGCTGCCGCCGCGCTCCTGGCTGTAGGAGGCCGCTGCGAACAGTGGCTCATTGGGATGCCAGCTGCTGATGGTGCTCACTGCATCCGAGTCCAGGAACTCGATTTTCGTATCAAAATAGAGCGTCATTTCTCTCCGTTGATATTCGGTATCCTTTTAACGTTCCGTTTTGGGCCAAACAAATCCCGCTGGCCGTTGCCATGGCTCCTCCATAAGCCATGTTCCTGGCATTTCTTGCAGCCCTGGCTGAATCATACTGCAATTAGTTGATTTATTCTAGATATACTTGAAAATCAACTATTTCACTATCAGACAACTAATTGCATGCTCTTAATCAGATTTACGGTCGATCGCCCCTCTCTGAATCTACGCACATGATCGCTTAAAAACAAATTACACTACGCAACAAAGCAAAAAAGGTGTTCGAGAACAATCCCTATATATAAAATATTTATGAACATTTTTCAAAAACCCTACCTTTGTCGGGAATTAAGGTGAGACAAATGTATTATTATAGGTAAAATATATACATGTACATATGTCAGCCCAGTAAAGGCATATTGGGTATTTGCAATAATTCAATATTTATGCTAACTAATTTGTTAAAACTTCAAATATCTTGTAGCACAGTGTTTGAGTGCAAAAGTCCACTATCTGTAAACACACCCATACATACCTAAGTACACAAACACGCAGAGAGCAGCAGCAATAAACTGTATGCACACACACGCACACCCCAACACACACACGCATACTGGATACATGAAGTCACCGGCAAGCAACAAGCTGCTTTCCATTATTGCGTCGCATTCGTAGGCTAGAAACAAACAGTTACAGCAAACAGTTGAGATTGCAGCACTGGAAAAGCAGCACGCGAAAAATGTCTGAGGAAGCCGCAACTAAAACCGCATTGAGAATTGCAGGCGCCGTCATCTTGCCGAATGTGGGAGGCGTTATTAATGGCGCATTGACGCGCAGGCACATTAAAACTTGGTATGCGAACCTGAATTTTCCCTCGTTCCGACCGCCCAACTGGCTGTTTGCACCCGTTTGGACATCACTGTACGCCGGCATGGGCTATGGCTCTTACCTGGTGTGGCGCGACGGCGGCGGCTTCAGCGGCGATGCTCAATTGCCATTGATCGCCTACGGCACACAGCTGGCGCTCAACTGGGCCTGGACACCGATATTCTTTGGCAAGCATAACATCAAGGGCGTAAGTTGAGACATTATAATTGACCTTCGAGTGTGCTGATTCTTATCTATTGTGTGTCATCCACAGGCGCTTATTGACATTGTGGCGCTTACAGCGGCGGCCGGTGCATGTGGTGTACTTTTCTATCGTGTGAACAAGACGGCCGGCCTTTTGTTTGTGCCGTATATGGCCTGGCTGGGATTTGCCACCGCCCTGAACTACGCCATGTGGAAACTAAATCCGGAGCAGGGTAAGCAAGGTGAGCAGCCGGCGTCGGCGCGTAAGCAGCAATAGGAGCTGTTGGGTAACCGATCATAAGGTGTTCTTTTTTAAATTGTTTATTTTTCAATAGAAAATGTAATCGTCACAAATTAAAAACCGTATCGGCATTATCGATAAACTGCAGCGCTGCAGTTGCAGCATGCTATCGATATATCGGCTGCGATTGCAGCGCCGAACGTTTGCTTTTTGAAAATGCATTGAAATCATATTCAATTGGCGCCACCGCCCGGTGCTGGCTGCTGTGGCTGGGCAACAGCTGTGGGGGTCGTTGGTGTGCCCGCCTTGGGGGAGGTCGTCTTGGGCGTAGCGCCCGCTTTGGGTGATGGCGACGCCTTGGGCGACGCCTGCGAATTGGGTGTGTTTGCTGGCGTCTTGGGCTTACCATCGCCAGCCTTTTGCTGCTGCTGGGGATTTGATTTAGCAGCTGTTGGCTGCTGTTTTGGGGGCGATGCCTTGTTGCCCTTGCTCTGCTGCTGCTGCGGCTGCTGCTGGGTGTTAGCTGCACCTGCGGGCTGCTTCGGTCCAGCTGGCTTGGCAGCTGCCGTCTCAGGTTTGGGCGCGACTGCGGGCTTGGCTGCCGCCTGCTTTTGTTGTTGTTGTTGTTGTTGTTGTGGTTTGTTGGGCTGTGGCTGCTTTTGGTTTTGTTGCTGTGTCTGGCCAGGCTTAGGCTGCTTGGACTTTTGAGCTGCTTCCTGTTTTTTGCCATTGGCAGCAGCTGCTGTTTTTTGAGCTGGAGCTGCAGCTGTTGGTGCAGCGGGAGCTGGAGTAGCTGCTGGTGGTGCAGCGGAAGCTGGAGTAGCTGCTGGTGGTGCAGCGGGAGCTGATGGTGCAGCTGGAGCTGCAGCTGTTGGTGCTGCGGGAGCTGGTGCTGCAGCTGGAGTAGCTGCTGGTGGTGCAGGAGGAGCTGGTGCTGGAGCTGCTGTTGGTGGTGTAGCAGGAGCTGCTATTGGTGCTTCGGCGGGAGCTGCTGTTGGAGATGCAGCTAGCGGTGCAGATGGAGTTGCAGCAGGCGCTGCGGCTGGAGCAGGAGCTGGTGCTGTAGCAGAAACTGCTGGTGGTGTTGCAGGAGCTGATGCTTCAGCAGAAGCTGCTGCTGGTTTTGCAATTTGAGCTGGAACTGCAGCTGGTTGGGCAGTAGGAGCTATAGCAGGAGCTGCTGCTGGTGGTATTATTGGAGCTGGAGCTGCTGTTGGTGGTGTAATTGGAGCTGCTACTGGTGGTGTAATTGGAGCTGTTGTTGGAGCTGGCGCTGCTGGAGCTGCTGCTGGTGAGGCAGCTGGTGCAGCTGCTACTGGAGCTGGAGCTGCGGCTTTCTGTTGTTGCTCGACGGCAATCTTGGGCTCCGCAGATGGCGTCGCTTGCTTTGCCGGTGGCGGTGTCACTTGCTTGGGAGCTGCCTGTGGTGGCTGCTGTCCAGGTGCTGCCTCCTTAACATCCTCTGGTTTCTTCTCTGCCGGCTTAGCCGTAGCTGCAGCTGGCTGTGGCTTCAGTTGCTCCACTGGAGCTTTAGCTTCAGCTGGTGGCGTGACCTGCTTTGCCGGAGGTGGCGTCACTTGCTTTGGTGCAGCCTGCTTGGCTGGCGGCGGAGCAGCCTGTTGTGGACTGGCGTCCTTCGGCTTGGGCTCCGGTTTCTTCTCAGGCTCAGCTGTGGCTATTTTCTGCTCCTGCTTGGCAGCGCCTGCTTCAGCTTTTAGCTCCACCTTAGCTGGCGCTGGCTTCTGCTCAGCTGGTGCACTGGCTGGGATCTCATTTTGCTCGACTGGCTTGACTGGCTCAGCGGCTACGATTTGTGCCAATGTTTGCACTGCAGGCGGTGTCTTTGCCTGCACAGCTGCGGCTGGGCTTGGGATTGGAGCTGCCAACGGAATGGCAGCAGGTGCTGCGATTGGGATTTGCGGCTCGACTGGCTTGGTCTGCTCTGCTTTGGGTTCCGGTGATGGCTTCTTGGTTTCCTTCTTTTGAGTGTTCACAGCAGCTGCTGCAGGTTTCGGCTGCTCCTCCTTGGCAGCAGGTTTCGGCTGCTCCTCCTTGGCAGCAGGTTTCGACTGCTCCTCCTTGGCAGCAGGCTGTGCCTGCAACTGGTTTTTCTCCTTATTGTTCTGCGGTTCGCTCTTCTTGTCCACCTTCTCTTGAGTCTTGCCCTGGGCCTTCTTGTTATCCTGCTTATCCTTGGCCTTTTCGTTCGGCTTCTTATTGGCTTCCTGCTGTGGCTGCTGCTTCTTGCGCTCCTGTTTGCCGGACTGCTGCTGCTGCTGCTGCTGCTTGTTGTCGGCCTTGTTCGTTTTCTTTGCCTCCTTGGGCTTCTCTGTCGCTGGCTTTGGCTGCTGCTCTTTGTTCTTGCCGGCAGCTGCTTGCTCCTGCTGTTTGTTCGCCTCCAGCTTGGCCACCTCATCAAAGTCGCCCACCAGATCGGGCACATCATCGTCATCATCCTCGCCAGCCGGAGCTGCTGCTGTGCCGCCCTCGGCCGTGGCCTTCTGATTGTTGGACATGGAGTTGGCATACATGCGCAACTGTACGACCGTCTCCTGTCCCAGCTGTGGCAGAATCTCCGGCAGCATTTCGACAATCTTCTTCGTCTCGCCATGGCCGGTGACGGCGAACGTATTGGCCGAGAGCGATGCCTGCGCCTTGGGATTATTGAAATGTATGACCGTGAGGTCATCCTTGATGATGTTGACCTCCTCAATGCCGGGTATGGTGCTAACGGAGAGCTTCTTGAGCGAGCTCTGCAGCTTCTTGTCATCGGTGGCCGCCGTCTGGTGCATGACCTTCTTTTTGCGACGGGGCGTGCCCTTGCCACCGATGCGCACCTGCGCCTGCAGCCGCTTCAGCTTCTCCACATTCATGCTGGCGAATCTCTAGATTATATAGATGCATATTTAGTTACATAAAATGGCCGGGCGGCATTTCAAGACATTACCTCAGATTTTTCTTAGCTTTTTTTCTCTCGTTCTTTTCTCTTTTGCTTTTCCGTTTGCTTTTCCTCAACGTGCAACTCCACGGACGCAAGAGCCAAATGCGAATAAATGCAGCTGCCGGGGCTAAGCGATCCACACCAAAAGACCGATCCGATCCGACCAGCCAGACCCAACCAAAGCAGCGCTGCTTTTATTAATAACGCGCATTTCTCTCTCTCTCTCTCTCTCTCTCTCTCTGTCTCCCTCTCTTTCTCGCTCCCTCTCTCTCGCCTGCTTTATTTTTGTGGCACTTTTTGCATATTTGTTTTTGAATACGCAAAAAAAAAGAAGAAAAGTTAAGAAAATGTCGCGCAATGTTATAAATAACCGCAGAATCTCTAGTTTTCCGAGTTCTGTGCAGCATCTCAACTCGGCGTGTGGCTGCGCTCCGACCGTGCCAAACACACACACGCACACACACACACACACACACACACGCACACAAACACACACACACACATGCATGCAAGCAAGCAAAGCGCATTCGCATCCTCAACGGCTGTTGAACTATTGACTGGACACGCAACCGCATCGGACGCACTGCGTCAAAAATAGCCAACAGAAACCATCAGCGCACAGCGTAAGCTTTCACTCACTGCGGGAATGTATTAATGTAGTCAGATTGTTTCGCGAATAGCTAAACATTAAAGCAAGTAAAATGCGACATGCCGAAACTTAAATACCCTAACAGACTCTATTTTTTAAAAGAATCTATATAATATCGAAGTTCACGATCTGGCTCATATGCTAGAAGGAAGGTAAGACTCATATTTGATTACCTTATATTCAAGGCAAAACTCTTTTTCATAACAGAACTCCATTTTTGACCATCTACCTCGAGACCCCTGCATGATATAGTACTCCAATATTAATAAGATTTCTAAATAATTTAGATAAAGCTAGAATTAAGTTCAGATAAGTATTAAATATCAGTTTATTAAGATAAGTATACTCCTCATATCTAAAAAAAGGATTTTCCGAGAATAACTCAACCATCGACCGATGTGTTCAATAGAACTATATAATAAACCACTCCAATATTGAAAAGATTTTGCTTATACATAGATATGGAAACATATTAAAACCCTTATACAAGAATCAATATTCATTCAAAATACATACGAAATTCAATTTTCCAACCAATTCTTTCCATAGAGCTATAAGAAATCTGATGTTGATAAGATTTTGCCCATATGTAAGGAGCATGATAAAACTAATAAATGGCAAGTTTGTTTAAGATATCTTAATATATATATATTAGCAGATCATATCTATGAGAGCATATATCATAATATAGTGGCCCGCTCCGGCCGATATTAAAATATATACACCATGCAAAAGAAAGGCAGACGGACCCATGCAAAGGTCTGTTAAGATGGCTTTAAAATGAAGGAATAGTGTGCATGTAAACAGACAAATATATCGACTCGAATCTTCCTTAATGCGTTACACGTTTCGCACATGAATTATAATACCCGCTGCGAGGGCATTTAAATTCGCGTGAGTGACGCATTTTTTTGAAAAATATAGTTTATTTTAAATATAGCGTACAGTGAATGCTCTGCTGACAGACAGCTTGCTTAAGTAGGCAACTTCTCAAAACAAAACTGTTTTAAATCCGAATACAAATTGCTAACATTTTATATTGGAAAGTAAAACAGACAAGGACAAGTTGACAAGTTGACAAATTGCAATGTTTTTTTTGAATCATTATGGAAAAGCTTTCAGAAAACTAGATTAATTTATTATTGGCATATAGAGATATGTGTAAGCATTAGAAAAAAATACATAAATTTTCGAATAAACTAGCTTGCCTTATATAATATCATGTATTAACCAGGTTAACCATGTTTTTGTAATATCTTAGACATAGTTTTTAAGTGGGAATTTCAGGACAATAAACGTGGAATCCTGGCTGTCTGCCTACGCAAGCTTTCACTGCACATATTTAGCCATAATGGTTAACAAGCTTAATTATTAATTAACAGACATTTTTTTACTAAAACAAAGTTTATACACGAAAGCCTGGCTGTCCGCTCAAGAGAGCTGATAGTACATATGGCTAACCTTATGGGTTGAAAACAATTTATATTACTTAAAGAATAACCAGTTTTAGGGATCTAGAACAGTTTTTGATCCTTAGCCATGAGCGTTGCGAGAGTGTGTATCTTTTTAATGTCACAGTTGGCGCAGGCTGCGTAAATCTGCTGATGCATTTCCAGCTCTCTTTGCACGAGCGGCTCAATGGCCGTGTACTTTTCCTGCTCCGCCTCCAGCTCGGCCAGCATGGCCATGTTCTGGAGCGGAGTATTAAATAGTGAGTATAGATAGAGATTGAATTTCTTGAATTTTGCACTCACCTGCCGGTAGCGCAGCTTCAGCTCTTCCACTTTGGCTGTCTTTGCTTCTTCCTCCTCGCTGGAGAACTGTTGCTCCAGCTCAAAGTCCTTGATCTGCAGCACATGCGGCGGCACCTCAAAGTTCCTTTTGTCCAGCTCGCGCAACCCATCCAGTCTCGCCTGGCACGCCTCCATCATAAGGCTTATAACGGCATCCTTTTTCTGATTCAACAATGCAGATGTGGCGGGCGTTTCAATTTTCTGAATCGTTGTCTCAACCGCTCGGCCAATGAGAGTTTGCACCAGATTGTCACCTGAAAATTAAATACATAATTTAGACTCTTTCTATTAGTTAAGCGAAATGCAACCTACGTTCGGCGGAGATTTGTTCCGGTGTGAAATTGAAGAACTCCAAGTTGTAGGCGCTCTGATTGAAATCCATTGCTATTTCTTTAAAACAAAACCGCAAACAAAATGATGCCAAAATAGCGCGGATTGAAAACAAGCAAATGTATCGAGCACAGCGATAGGCGGCTTAATATCGATATCAAGTGTGACCAGACGACTATTCTTGCCTAGTTTATGTTAAAAGCACAATGTTTTTTTAATAAATAAATAAGCTGAAAGTAGAATATCTTAAATAAATAAATAAGCTAAATGCACAATATTTTTAAATAAATAAATAAAATAAAAATTCTAATTTAATGTTAATTTAATATGAAAAAGAATAACACACCTGGCCTGGCCATTGATGTGCTTTGCACCGTGCACATAAAAAATACCAAATTTAATACTAGCGCCAAGTGTTGCATAGCGTGGAAACCGCAGCTGCCCGCCACACTTGTTGTGCTAACCACATGAATGTCATATTAGAATATATTTGTGTAAAGAGGTTGTTGACAATTTTCAGCATGAAAGTAAACTGAGTTTAAACCGGCATTTCAGTTAAAATTACGTTAATTTCAGTTCTATTATTTTCCGTATAACCAAATGCTTCTAAAGAAATGTTTAAGCCACGGCATACGTGCGCTTCACACCCGCAAATGTTCCACCAGGCAGAACATTGTTGTGCATCCAGATGTGCGACATGCCCTGGCACAGAAGCATCCTGTTGTGGCGCTGGAGTCGACAATTATAACACATGGCATGCCCATGCCGGAGAATGTGGAAACAGCGCTGCAGGTGGAGCAGGAGGTGCGCAACAAGGGCGCTGTGCCAGCCACCATTGGCATCATTGATGGCTGCATCAAAGTTGGCCTCACGCAGGAGGAGCTCATGGAGCTGGCGCAAAAGACGCGCGGCGAGGTCATCAAATGCTCACGCCGCGATCTGCCCTACTTGGTGGCGATGCAGCAAAGTGGCGGCACAACGGTAGCTGCTACCATGATTGTGGCACATCGCGTGGGCATCCCCATCTTTGCCACTGGCGGCATTGGCGGTGTCCATCGTGAGGGTCACATAACGCTGGATGTATCTGCTGATCTGGTCGAGCTGGGCCGCACGCCGGTAGCTGTTGTCTGCAGCGGCGTCAAGTCCATATTGGATATACCGCGCACGCTGGAGTACCTGGAGACGCAGGGCGTGTGCGTGGCCAGCTATGAGAGTGCAGGCGGTGTGTTTCCCGATTTCTATACACGTGACAGCGGCTCGAAGGTGCCCTACAATCTGCCCACAGCTGCGCATGCGGCGCGATTGTTGCGCGCCTGGCGCCAGCTGGAACTACAGTCCGGCGTGCTTATAGGCGTGCCCATACCAGCTGAATATGCCGCCAATAAATCTGACATAGATGCGGCTATCCAGGCAGCCAATGCTGAGGCGCAGGCACAGGGCATCAGCGGCAAGGAGGTCACGCCTTTTCTGCTCGCCCATATCGCAGAGCTAACCGAGGGTCGCAGTCTGCAGGCAAACATTGCGCTGATCCGGAACAACGCGGCTGTGGCCGCACAAATCGCCTGCGAGCTGGCAGCTGGCAGCCGGAGCACAGCTTCCACCGGCAAGCGTAGTCTGAAAAAACCCCTAGTTGTGGGCGCCTCCATACTGGATTTGAGCTTTAAGGTCACCGAGCAGCGGCCGATGCAGCTGGACGGTGCCACCTATTCGGCTGTCACCAAGCAGGCAGCCGGCGGCGTTGGACGCAACGTGGCCGAGGGCATCTACAAGCTGTATGGCGATGTGAATCTAATTTCGGCCGTGGGCGGCGATCAGCTGGGACATATACTGCGCGAGCTGATGCCGGCGGCGCTGCAAAGTGGCCTTATCGTAGACAAGACGCGCGCCACATCCCTCTGTTCGCTGGTCTTTGACCAGTCCGGCGATTGTAAGCTCATCCTGGGTGATATGGAGGTGCATAAAAGCATTACGCCCGAAGTGCTGGCGGCACGTGCTGACCTATTCCGCGCTGCACCGCTTATTGTGATGGACAGCAACATCTCGGAGCAGGCGATGTCCAGCTTGCTGCAGCTGGCGCAGCGCTACCAAGTGCCCGTCTTCTTTGAGCCGACGGACATGTTCATAGCCGGCAAACCTTTCAGGCTGCGCCCGGAGCTTACCCAGCACATACGCCTGGTCAAGCCGAACATGCATGAGCTGAAGACCATTGTGGAGACCATTACGGAGCAGCCTGTCGACTGGCAGCCGGACACAAAAGTGGAGCGTTCACAGCTTTTGGAGCAGGCCAAACAGCTGCTGCAACGCATCGAGTGCCATTTCAATTGTATTATTGCCACGCTGGGCGATCACGGCGTCCTGCTCAGCATTCGCTCCGATGCCGAATTCGATGCGAGCAAGCTGCTCGCACTCTCGCCCAGCTGTGGGCACATCACGCGCTTCTATGCGGCGCCCAAGATGCACAACATAGTCAATGTTTCCGGCGCGGGCGACAGCTTCTGTGCCGGCTTCATTACGGCCCTGCTCAAGGAGCAGCACAGCCTGGACGAGTGCGTAGCGGCGGGCTTTGTGTCCGCCGAACGGGCGCTGCTGTCGGAGTCGGCGGTGCCGGCCACCTATTTCCACGATGCGCAGGCCTTCGAGAGCAGCCTCCAGCAGGCGCTGAAAACGCTGCAGCGGCAGAGCATCTAGACAGACTGACTGACTGACGAACAAAGTTAAATTCAGGGTACCAACTTTAATTAAATACATATATAAGTGTATATCGATTCTATATGTACATAGCATGCTCGTCAATGGGCCCATCTGAAAGAATGGCAATAAATGTGATGTTTAATATGGTTCATGTTTTTAATTGGATTTATAACTCACAGCTTTATCACCTTGTCCTTGCCGCCGGACGCCACACGAGAGCCATCGGGCGCCCAGTCTACGCCAAACACTTCGTCCGCATGTCCAGGCAGCTCCTGCGCCAGCTTCTTGCTTTGCACGCTCCAAACTGTAATTGCAAGATATGAGTTTTAAAAGAAAAACGTGATGTTATTAAGCTGATCAATCAATCAGCTATTCAGGTAGTTAATAAGTCGCTCAATCAGACAGTTCGACTCAATCAAGTAGAAGGTCAATCGATCAAAAATAAGTTAGTCAATTCTGTCAGCTTCTGAAACAGTCAGCTCTTAAGTTAATACTTCATACAGTCTGCAAGCAAGTCAATCAATCAGTCGGTTGATTGATCAATCAAGTAGTAAGTCAATCAATTAATCAAAAATTAGTTAGTCAATTCTGTCAGCTTATCAAACAGTCAGCTCTTAAGTTAATCATTGAGACAGTCTGCAAGCAAGTCAATCAATCAGTCGGTTGATTGGTCAATCAAGTAGTAAGTAAATCAGTTATTCAGAAATCAATAAGTCAATTCTGACAACTTCTCAAATAGTCAGCTCTAAAGTTAATCATTGAGACAGTCTGCAAGCAAAGCAAGTCAATCAATCAGTCGGTTGATTGGCTAACTTGATATTTAATCAGTCAGACGGTCGATCAGTCAGTCAGTTAGCACAAGCTGTACACTAAAATAGAGATGAGACCCACCCTTCAGCGTGGAGTCCTTGCTGCCGGAGACAATCAAACGCGAATCGGCCGACCAGGCCAGCGTATAGACAGCCTGCACATGACCGCGGAATGTGGCTATGAACTGACCATCGTGGGCACGCCAGAGGCGCACGGATTTGTCAAAGGATGCGGAGGCAATGAGCTTAACATCGGGCGAATACTTGACATCGTTCACCACATTCTGATGGCCAGTCAAACGGTTGACGCATTGGTTCTGATTGTTGCGCCACAAGTACAAGGTGTTGTCGTCGGAGCAGGACACCAGGGACTCCACTTCATCCGGGCAAACAGCCTGGAAGCGCTTCAGGGCAGCAGCACGCAATTCCTCAGCTGCAAATGGAAATAAGTTTGGGTTGGTTTTTAAACACAAGCGTAAAGATGATGCCACTCACGCTCTCCGCTGATCTGCGCCATCTGACGATCCTTGGCAGGCTGAAAGGGTCCCGTGCGCAGCACATAGTCCGTGCTGAGCGCAATGTTGTTCACCCAATGCGCATGGCCGGAGAAGGTGCGGCAGAGTATGCCGTCGTCGGCGCGCCACATCTTGACCGTGCGATCCTTGGACGAGGTGTAGATCAGGCCAGCGCCACCCCAGCGCACAGCCGTAACGGCATTCGTGTGCCCCGCAATGTTGAGCAGACACTGACCCAGCTTGACATCCCAGATACGGCAGTCGCCGTCGCTGCTCGCCGATGCCAGCTTGCGGCATTCGGGATTCTGATGATAAGGCTCCCAGCTGAGCCCATTGATGTGCTTCTTGTGACCTGTCAATGTGCGACCCTTCTGCTGACCCGTCTCCGGGTCCCAAATGATAATATTGCCCGCCTTACAAGCGCTTGCCAGACGCTGCCCATCCGGTGCCCAGGCGACGCACAGCACCCACTGCTTGTGGCCGCTGCAGGTGTAGTGCGGCGTCTCTGTGTTGAGATCCCAGAGGCGGACAGTGGTATCGCCACTGCCGCTGGCCAAATGGACGCCATTGGGGCTAAAGTGCAGCGATACGATCGCCTCAGCATGACCCGGCATGGAGCTGGTGCAACGCGTCACGGGACGCACTTTGAATACGGCCTGTGGCTGATAGACAATATCAATGACATTCTCCGTGTCGACGGTGCTCAAATCTAGCGTCTCCTCCAACGATTTTTTGATCTCATCCTCGCCCACGAAGAACAGATAAGGCGTCGCCTCTTCATTCTTGAGCAGCGCATTGCAGATGAGGCCCAGCTGTTGTGTTGTGATGCCCGCTGGCAGGTCTATGGGCGGTCCCGCCTCCTCGCCTGTGTCGGATATGAGGCGTGCTTGCAGTGTTTGTGGCGTGGCCAGCATCTGTTCAGGCTGCTGTTCCACTTTCTGTTTTTTGGCAAACATTTTGCGATCGAAAAGAAAAACGCACAACCAGAAAAACAACAAAGTCAAAACACGTGCGCTGCTCGACTGTTAGCGACAGTGAGATAACATGTTATTAACAGCGGCCAGAAATGTTCTTCTAAACAACAGTCCATATTTGCTAATATTTTTAAAACTAGGCTTTTCTGAAGCAATTGGGTTTTTAAAAGCACGCATAATATTGCAATGCAAAAAGTTTTGATAGCAAACGAGAAAATCGCGCCCTATTTTGAATTTAGCCTTTATTTATACTAACAGCGCCAAACGAGCTACAACAAGACTGTTATCGATAACAACTGAAACTCATTTAAGTGCTGCTTAATGTGTGCTGTCTGTAAGCATTTCACAACACTGTCGCACAATTTTCATGTACGCGTTTTTCATACGTTTGTTGCCTAAAAATTGATAAAAAATGGAAAATATTCCGCGTACTCATGAAGGTAAGTGATAATATAATACAAATAATGTGCGCTACAACTCGAACCAATGCTGATGTACACGTAGAGTGCTTAAAAACATGCCGCGTTACCTTAATTAGCGTCCGAGTTGTTTTCGCTGTGCCAAGAAAATCAATTTTAAATGTATTAAAAAAAACGTTTGGCAGACATTGAGGCGCAAATTTCGGATATACAGGCCAAGAAGACAGAGCTTGCCAAGAACAATGCAGCGGCAGCCGGCGTTGGGCTGCTGGACAGCGGCGGCTTCTTCGACGCCGATCTGTACGATGAGGAGGCGGCTGTGGGCAAGGGGGCAAAGAGTCGCTACGAGGGCTACAACACATCCATCGCGGCTAACGATGAGGATGGCGATGAGGATGAGGAAGACGATGGCTTTCCAGTTCCGCAGAAGCGTACCACATACACGGCGCCCACGTCTGTGCTGAAGGATGTGACCCAGGGCAAGGAGGATGTTGATCCTATGGCCGAGCACCGGCGACCGACCATAGCGGATCGCGAGGATGAGTACAGACAAAAGCGGCGCCGCATTATAATTTCGCCAGATCGTGCCGATCCGTTTGCCGATGGCGGCAAAACTCCGGATGTCGGCTCCCGCACCTATACGGACATCATGCGCGAGCAGATGCTGAAGGGCGAGGAGACCGAGCTGCGGCGTCGCATCTTGGAGAAGTCCAAAGAGGGCACGCTGGTTAAATCCTCGAATGGTGAATCGGCCTCCAAAGACGGAGGACGCAAGCGTGGACGCTGGGATCAGACGGTCAGCGATAGTTTTATACCCGCTAAAGTGGCTGCCACGCCCAGCAGCGCTGCAACGCCCACCTGGGAAGACGTGAGTACAAATAAATAAAATATATACCAATAGTGCTGAGCTTAACTCCTACATGTGCTTGCAGAAAACACCCGGAGATCATCGCTGGGATGAGACACCCGGCCATAAGGGCAGCGAGACGCCTGGTGCGACGCCTGGTTTGGGCACTCGTATCTGGGATGCAACACCGGCGCACGCAATGACACCTGGCCATGAAACGCCCGGACATGAGAAGTCGGCACGCCGAAATCGCTGGGATGAGACACCAAAGACGGAGCGCGAAACGCCCGGGCACAGCGGCTGGGCAGAGACCCCGAAGCCGGATCGCAGCGGCAGCGGCGCCGGCGAGAGCATTTCCATAGAGTCAACTCCGGGCGGCGCTTCGAAGCGACGCTCGCGCTGGGATGAGACGCCCTCGAATGCGACGCCGGCTGGGATAACGCCCAGCAATGCCAGCGCTATGACGCCCAGCATGACGCCGCATGCAACACCCGGTCATGCCACGCCCCTATTAACACCTGGCGGCAGTACGCCCGTGGGCGTAAAGGCAATGGCCATGGCCACACCCACACCGGGCGCACTAGCTGCCATGACGCCGGAACAGTTGCAGGCCTATCGCTGGGAAAAGGAAATCGATGAGCGCAACCGACCCTACACCGACGAGGAGCTGGATCAAATGTTTCCGCCGGGCTATAAGATATTGCCGCCGCCAGCCGGCTACGTGCCGCTGCGCACGCCTGGCCGCAAGCTTATGGCCACGCCCACACCGATTGCGGGCACGCCCGCAGGCTTCTTTATCCAGGTGGAGGATAAGAACGCCAAGTTTATGGACAACCAGCCGAAGGGCCAGAATCTGCCGTTCATGAAGCCCGAGGATGCACAATACTTTGACAAGCTGCTCGTGGATGTTAATGAGGATGCGCTCTCCCCCGAGGAGCTCAAGGAGCGCAAGATCATGAAACTCTTGTTGACCATTAAGAACGGATCGCCGCCCATGCGCAAATCCGCGCTGCGTCAGATGACGGACAAGGCGCGTGAATTTGGCGCCGGGCCGCTATTCAATCAAATTCTGCCGCTGCTCATGTCCCCGACGCTAGAGGATCAGGAACGGCATTTGCTGGTGAAGGTAATCGATCGTGTGCTCTACAAATTGGATGATCTGGTGCGTCCGTTTGTGCACAAGATTTTGGTGGTCATTGAGCCGCTGCTCATCGATGAGGATTACTATGCACGTATCGAGGGTCGGGAGATCATTTCGAATCTGGCAAAGGCAGCCGGTTTGGCCACCATGATCTCCACAATGCGTCCAGATATTGATAACATTGATGAGTACGTCAGAAATACGACAGCGCGTGCCTTTGCCGTGGTCGCCTCCGCCTTGGGCATACCCTCGCTGTTGCCCTTCCTGAAGGCCGTCTGCAAATCCAAGAAATCCTGGCAGGCGCGCCACACAGGCATCAAGATCGTGCAACAGATTGCCATATTGATGGGCTGCGCCATATTGCCCCATCTGAAGGCGCTGGTGGAGATCATTGAGCACGGCCTGGTCGATGAGCAGCAAAAGGTGCGCACGATCACAGCGTTGGCCATCGCAGCCCTGGCCGAGGCAGCCACACCCTACGGCATTGAGTCTTTCGACTCGGTGCTCAAGCCTCTCTGGAAGGGCATACGGACGCATCGTGGCAAGGGCCTGGCCGCCTTTCTCAAGGCCATTGGCTATCTCATACCGCTGATGGATGCCGAGTATGCCAACTACTATACACGTGAGGTCATGTTGATTCTCATACGTGAATTCCAGTCGCCCGATGAGGAGATGAAGAAGATTGTCCTGAAGGTGGTCAAACAATGTTGCGCCACAGACGGTGTGGAGCCGCAGTATATCAAGGAGGAGATATTGCCGCACTTTTTCAAATTCTTTTGGAATCATCGCATGGCGCTGGACAGACGCAACTATCGCCAGCTGGTCGATACCACCGTGGAGATCGCCAACAAGGTGGGCACCTCGGAGATCATCAATCGTGTCGTGGATGATCTGAAGGATGAGAATGAACAGTATCGCAAAATGGTCATGGAAACGGTGGAGAAAATTATGGGCAATCTGGGCGCTGCGGATATCGATTCACGCCTCGAGGAGCAGCTGATCGACGGCATACTGTACGCCTTCCAGGAGCAGACCACCGAGGATGTGGTCATGCTGAACGGATTCGGTACCATTGTCAATCAGCTGGGCAAACGTGTCAAGCCATATTTGCCACAGATTTGCGGCACCATACTCTGGCGTCTAAACAACAAATCCGCCAAAGTGCGTCAACAGGCGGCGGATCTGATCTCGCGCATTGCCGTGGTCATGAAGACCTGTCAGGAGGAGAAGCTGATGGGCCATTTGGGCGTTGTGCTCTATGAGTATTTGGGCGAGGAGTATCCGGAGGTGTTGGGCAGCATATTGGGCGCGCTCAAGGCTATTGTGAATGTCATTGGCATGACCAAGATGACGCCGCCCATCAAGGATCTGCTGCCCCGCCTCACGCCTATATTGAAGAACCGACACGAGAAGGTGCAGGAGAACTGCATCGATCTGGTGGGTCGCATTGCGGATCGCGGACCGGAATATGTATCCGCCCGCGAGTGGATGCGCATCTGCTTTGAATTGCTGGAGCTGCTCAAGGCCCACAAGAAGGCTATACGTCGCGCCACGGTGAACACCTTTGGCTACATAGCCAAGGCAATTGGTCCGCACGATGTGCTGGCCACGCTCCTAAATAACCTGAAGGTGCAGGAGCGTCAGAATCGTGTCTGCACCACCGTTGCCATCGCCATTGTCGCCGAGACGTGTCGTCCGTTCACCGTGCTCCCGGCGCTGATGAATGAGTACCGTGTGCCGGAGCTGAATGTACAGAATGGCGTACTGAAATCTCTATCCTTTCTGTTCGAGTACATTGGCGAGATGGGCAAGGACTATATATATGCGGTGTGCCCGCTGCTCGAGGATGCGCTAATGGACCGCGATCTGGTGCATCGCCAAACGGCCTGTTCGGCCATCAAGCACATGGCCCTGGGCGTCTATGGATTTGGCTGCGAGGACGCACTTACGCATCTGCTCAACTACGTGTGGCCGAACATATTTGAGACATCGCCGCATCTGGTGCAGGCCTTCATGGACTCGGTAGATGGGCTGCGCGTCTCGTTGGGCTCCATCAAGATCCTGCAGTACACGCTCCAGGGTCTGTTCCATCCGGCGCGTAAGGTGCGCGATGTCTACTGGAAGATCTACAATTCGCTGTATATTGGCGGGCAGGATGCCCTCATCGCGGGCTATCCACGCATCACCAACGATCCCAAGAACCAGTACGAGCGCTACGAGCTGGACTATACGCTTTAAGCAGCCTCCATCTCCACCACACCCCTCAATAGCCCTTAATTATATTGTAATTTTGATAAGATGAATACACAAATATAGCGCGAATGTACAAAACGAGTATTTATTCTACATTTTTAGAGTAGCTGAGCGAGGCGAGTTACTACTGTGGACCAGAGCTGTAATCTATAATTACTAGGAAATTACATTGTAATTACCAGCAATTACATTGGCAATTGCAATATAATATGGCTTAAACTTTTTTATTGTTAATTAATACATTCAATTGCCAAGTAATTATCAGTGCACAATTCAATTACTTTTTAATTACCAGCAATTACATTGACAATTGCATTTGCAATTACCTTTAATTACTAAGCAATTATCATTACATAATACAATTACTTTTCAATTACCAGCAATTAAATGATTATTGACAATTTATCTTTAATTACCAAACAAAATATTTGTAGTAACCAAGTTAAATCAAATTTTGAGCTGGTTTTAATTACCAAGTAAATATTTTTGATATCAATTACATGTTAATTACCAGCAATTACATTGATAATTACTTTAGTAATTTGCTGAGAAATTGTAATAACTTTCATTGCCAAGTAAATAATACTTTTACCCAAGTCAATTGCTTGTTAATTACCGCATATAAAATTGACAATTTCTTCTGTAATGATAATTAATATAAGACAATTGCTGAACAATAATTAAGCTTGATAATGAATAGATATTAGAATTTGTATCTTTAAGGTAATTGCTATTTAAAAATGCAAATTTATAGCCAGGAAATAAAAATACTTAAGTAATGCGACATAATTACTACTTGCATAATTACTGATAATTAAAATATGACTTTTTGACATTTGTTAAAGTCATTGAGCTATTTTTGTTTCCTTTTTTGATTTGGTAAAATTAAATATATCTGTAATTAATAACTTTACCGAAATAATACTTAATTATCAAATGGATAAGCATATTTTGTTCAAGTAATTATGTTTGGATAATTATTTTTTAGGTTAATTACTTTTTTTTGAAATGCATTTTAAATACTTGCAATTATAATAACTCATGTAATGGAGCATATATTAAGGCTTTATTAATTAGCAATTTTAATGGTAATTAAAGTTTGCATCTACTCAAATTCAATTATCGAACATTATTTCATTGTAAAACTTTTTATTACCATTAATTACAATTTCAAATTTTTTTATATATGTTCCTAGTTTCTTCACAATGTAATGGTAATTAAAATATAATTACTATGTAATTAACTGAGGGAATCAGTTTCGGTTTTAAATTACTTTTAAATGCCTTTAATTACCACCAATAATAATTACATGGAAATGCGAACGGAGGAATCGCATTGGTAATTAAAGTTGAATCTGCTTGTCTGCAGTTGTTGCTAATTACTTGTTTGAAATACTTTTTAATTACAAATTTAGTTATCCGAGTACACTTTTGGCTTAATCACTGAGCAATTGTATAAGTAATTAAACCTGTTTAACCAAGTAACTATATATATATATATATTGGGAATTGTCTTTTGTTTTCATTCTATGTAATTACAGCTCTGCTGCGAACTAATCTTTTGGCTTAGCATTAATACAAGTATGTGTGTTGGACCAGCTGGAAGAGGAATCTGTGGATGCCTGCTATCGGTGGAGCATTGTTTCGACTATCTCGATGAGGCTCTGCAGCCCAAACATATAATTGTGATCGGGCTGCGCATCCTCGGCCGGGAAAATGTGTGCGAAATCTATGCAACGCACGCGTATCCATTGACTCGAAGTGGTGGGCAGGGCGGGATCCGGATGATAGCCATTGCTCAGCTGCTTGGAGCTGCTGCTGCCTTTGGCTAACCTTTGCAGCTGCTCGAAGTCGTAGCAGATGAGCAGGGAGCTGGCATAGAAGTGCAGCAGACGCTGTCGCTTGAACCAGGCGCGTATCGAGCGCAGTTGACGCAGCACCTCGCGCAGCAGGACATCGCTAGCCTGACAGTTGACATTGAAGAACTGGGCCAATGCCTTGTGGAAGCCCGCCACATCCAGACTCTTGCCAAAGTCCCGGCCCTGACGAATGAGCACACTTTGGCCGGGCTGCTGCTCATCCGGTTGGTACACCTGAAAGCCAGGCAGGCACAGACCCAGATTCTGTTTGCATACGACATACTTTTGTTCCTCGATGGTGCGCTTATGGTCCGATGACAAGGGGTCCCAGGTGCGGCGGCCAATTTTCACATCCATGACGCACGGCCTGGCCATGCCGTGCGTCAGATCCTCCAGCTTGATAAATGTGTGCTCGCGCTGATTTACAACCAGTTTGAGTTGGCCATAATAGCGGGGGACGTGCGCCGCCAGGTCGGCCAGCAGTGACAGGTCCGTTTCGCTGTCCCCTTCACCACCGCCAGCGGTGCCGTTCAGGTTCAGGTTATTGGCAGCGGGGGGCGATGCACCTGCTTGTGTCGCAATTGCCGCCGCCAGTGACTCATAGAAATTGAGTTCACGCACGCCGCACTCCGGTTTGCCCAGCGGCTTGAAAACGCGGCCTTCGCCCGCATCTTGGAGCAGTCCGACGGCGGCCGCGTTTGTCGCCTCGAATGTGTGACCGGCCACCTGGGTGTCCAGCTTGCAGTAGCCCATGGGCACGACGGGCGCAGCTATTACCTTTTCTTGTTCCTTTTTGGCCATGTTCAGACTGTCTGGCACTCAAAATCAAAAGCTGCAACAACTGCAACAGCAAAAACAGCGCAAAAACCGGAACAGTGTTGTGAAATGCAGCGCTGATAATAATAGCGGTTTTTATGGCAAATGGCAGTCAAAGCAAAAAGTTAAGCTACTTATTATTAAATATATATATATATTTATTTTAAGCAGTTGTAAGAGCGTAATATGTTAATAGGCTGCCATTTATTTATGGCGGCATTTTATGAAATTCAGTGTTGCAAACGCTGCGCAGCAACTTGTTGTGCACTAATCGTTATCGCATAAAGCCTGTCGTTATCGGTCGCAGCAAGTGTGGGAGTGGTTGTCGTTTTGTTGGTATTTTATCCAATTAACAAGTTTATTTACAAATTTGTTATTTCGCTATTTGTTAACTGAGCTCGCAGCATTTGTCGCCAGCTGCATTATGAAATCCTGGCAAGTAGCTGTGCTGGCCCTCGCGGCCGTCTATCTGTGCAGTCAGGGTAAGTATTTAGCCACACCTTAAAAACAAAAAACAAACATGACACATGTGGAAACCATTTGCAGTGCATTTTGTCCAGGGACTGGAGTGCTACGTGTGCTCCAACCAGACGGGCAACACTGAGAAGTGCCTGAACACAATCAAGACCTGCGAACCGTTTGAGAATGTGTGCGGCACCGAGATACGCTGGGGCAGCCAGCCGTACTTCTCCGAGGGCGCACTCAAGCAATATTATGTCTCCAAACGCTGCATGACCAAGGAGCAGTGCCAGTCGAAGCGTCGGCGCTATATGCAGATGTATTGCACCCACATCTGGTATGAGGATTGGGCGTGCAACGAGTGCTGCCAGGGCGACAGATGCAACTATTTTGTCATCGTAAGTGGGCGTTGCCCCCGAGCTGACTATTATTATGATTCTTTAATATGTGTCCATTAACTAATATGTAATCTCTTGCAGAGCGGCGCGACGGGTCAACAGAGCCACATGCGGTTGCTATTCGCCGCGCTGCTGGGCGTCGGACTGCTCATAAGGCGTGGCATAATGCCCTAGGCAATGCACTTTTATTTTGCCCTTCTAATACGCGCATTCACATTCCAACGAAGCTAAGTAATTTTAATTGTATTAGTAATTGTATTGATTTCGCATTGTCCACTAGTTAGTAGTTACCACTGTATGCCGTCCATTGTATGTACATTTTGTATGTAGTTCGACACCGTCCAAGTGCCTTGACAAGCAGTTATAACCAAGGCCTGTTAAAGTTTTAGTTTAGTTTGCGGTTAGAATTCAAATTTAAAGCTTTTTAAAGATTAGTTTTTGCTTAAAATTTCAAAGATTTCATCCAGCTTGTATAAAGGCATATCAACAATATTACGAATTTGTTTAGAAGTTCATAAAGGAGCTTTCTATTACATTTTTTCTTGATTCAGGAAGTTTTAATGCTCCTTACACCAATGAAAAAAGGGTATATTAGTTTTGTGCAATGTCTGTCTGTCTGTTCTTTTTAAACTATTTGAATTAGGAGACTTTCAACTTTGAGTATACTGTAAGAGCTGCCAAGAAAATTTCTAGTTGTTCTGCTAAAATATAAATCTTAAAAAAGGACAAAAATGTGGATAAAAGAATTGACAGATTCAAGGAGTTGTTTGCCAAAAGGAGTTTCTACTGTGTAATTTAGAAAAGTCACCTGATCTATTTCTCAAATATTTTTTGGAAAAGCTAAAAATATTTATCAATTTTTAAACCGAAATGTTTTAAGAGGTTGTTAACTGAATATGATAGAACGATGCTTTAGTTTAGCTTATGAAATCTTTGCAATTTTGTAAAATATAAACTAGAACTTTAACGTGGCATTTTTAGCTTAAGTAATCGTACTCGAATCGAATCAGAAATTCTCGAAAATCTTTTTGAAAAGCGCCCTTTTGGGCCTCCAAACAGCTCAATAAAGCAACAATGACGTTTTCTATGAACGCTCTATTGTGCAATTTTATATATGTATATATATTTATGTTAAAGATCTTTTAAGTTGTATAAGTTTAGGCTAGTTGGTGCAGAAGCAGCCGGCGGTAACGGTGACCGTCTTGAATTGCCACTGCCAGAGCTGTGCCAGCTCCTCGGGCAGCCAGAGACGCGCCGATGTTGCAGCCGTCTTGCCGGACGGCTGCGTTGGCAGCTGATTCGGGCCGAGTGTCAGCACCTTAAGCTTGTACTCCAGCGGCTTGCAGTTGGAGCCTTGCGTGCACTTGGCATCTAGCGCTGGACGCGACTCGCAGACGGCGCTCATGAGATAGCGTGGGAAGTATGTGCTGCCCAGATCAATCAGATCGTTCTGCGCAAGAGAAATTATTAAATATGAGCCTGAGTTGCGTACAGTTTGTGGACGCACCATAACTTTGCAATCGCAGCCGGCGGCGTGTGCACCATTCCGTTTGCTGGTCAACAGATCCTCGTAGAAGTCGTTGTAGTGCATCGGCGGCAGCTGGTAAGGCGTCAGAGCTGCCTCCGTTGGCTGTACGGGGGCGGGCGTGCTCGCTGGCCGCCCAAAAAGCGCATTTAGCATTTTCGATGTGTCCTGATCAGCATCCGCATCGACTGCATCCAACTGATCGCCATCGCGCCCGTCGCCGCCGTAGTCCAGAAAGCGATTGCAGCGCTTGGGCATCGCCCGGGCGAGCATTGGTGCCGTCAGCTCGTCGTAGGCGGCAAACCGATTGCTGCTGACAACGCAGCGCAGCGCCAGCGCCGCAAGCAAAGTGGCCATCTAGAAGGAAATTATTGTATGCATACACTGAGAGAAACAGCTCGTAATTATGGCACTTATTCTCTGAGAAACAGGGTGCACTTATTGTCAATTCCTGAATAATCTTCAGGTAAGTATGAATCCTGCTTTGCTCATAAAATATTACAAATATGTTCGCATACTCACAAAAAGTATAAAGTGTTCTCAATTGAAGTCTAGCCTTTCTGCATGTGTGACCCCATAAAGTATATATATTCTTAATCAGCATCACAAGCCGAATCAATCTAGCCATGTCCGTCTGCCTGTCCCTTCGTCCGTCCATCCGTCCGGGTGTCCGTCCGTCTGTCAGTCCGTCTATCCGTTCATCTGTCCGAATGTATGAACGCAAGGATCTAAGAACCTATAAGAGCTAGAGACTTGAAATTTGAAATGTGGGTCCTTCTAGTGCCCGTGCAGTACGAGTTAGTTTCCGATATTCGATAGCTTGTCCTGTTTCCAAGTAATCGATAAAAATCGATATCGAAATCCGGTTTTTTGAGCAAATCTCGTAAGTTATAAGAGCTAGATTCATCAAACTTGACTTGTAGCTTCTAGAATCATATATAGTATTATATATATATCAAACCCATCGCCGCCATTTCGTGCCTAGCTTAATAATTGTTGGCACTCAATAGTTAATGTTTTCTTAAATTAAGTGTCTATAAGCTTGTTTTCAAAATGTTTAAGAATTGTTAGCAAATTTTTAAATGTTTGTAAATTAAGTGTGAGTTTTGCTTCTTTTAAAAATGTTGTGTTTTAAGCACAAAATACTTATTTAAAGAAATTCGATGCTTAAATATAAGCTTAAAACGTTCCCAATTCAAGTAAAATGTTACTTGAATTGAGTTCTGTTGTGTTTAAGTTTGGGATTTAGGAATTGCGAGATTTATTGATAAAGTTCTTCTAGGATCTTTAGATGTTCAGAATATCGACAACGTTTGTGCTTGATTTCACTCTGTTCTATAAGTAAAACTTTTATTTATTATTGGACTTTCTTAAACTAAGTATGAATCAGGCTTGATTTGCAAGAATTTCCATACTTAAAGTAAGCGTAAAACGTTTTTGATTTAAGTACAACATTCCTTAGCTTCAACACCCCGTTTAACATTTGTTTTTAGGAATTTGTGGATTTTCATAACTTCTTGATTTAAGCTTTTTATTGCTTAGTTTAAGAAATTGCGAACATTTCACCAATGTTCATGCTTGATTTCACAAAGTTTTAAAAGTTCAATATTATTTTATTTTGCGCCTGCCTAAATAAGGTATAAGAATACTTAATATAAGTATAAGAATACTTAATATAAGTATAATAATACTTAATACAAGTATTTGCATACTTTAAATAAGCGCAAAACGTTTTTATTTTAAGTACAACATTTCTTAGCTTCAGCATTCGGTTTGAATATTGTTTTTAGCTGCTTGAATTAAGTTTTGCCAAGCTCAGTTTAAGTAAATACAAAGTTGAACAGAAATTCACCAGTTTTGTGCTTGATTTGAGTGGAAAATGTTGTTGTTGTTTTTCACCGATTTGATATATTTGCCGTGTTGGACTCACCCATGGCATGGCTTGAACCGTGCTGCTGCAGAGTTTGGCTACTTTTGCGGCTCTGACGACCAAGGTGGGGCGTTTATATAGCCGCTGGCCGACACAGGCTGAACAATGGGCACCAAGCGCTCGGATTACCTTTTGTGTGCGACTGGCGTGTCCATTATGGCCCGTCACCTGGACAGTAAGAGCAGCAACAGCAGCATTCGTCACAGCGGGCGCCAAACAAAGAGCTCAACTGTTGACACAATACAACAATGGATATCAGGAACTCCGAGGACTGACTATTTATAGACTGGACACTGGCTTTAAGCTCGGCTACTTCAAGTGTTTATGCGTGTGCCGAAAAAAAAGTCAAAATAGAGAAGAGAAAAAATAAAACCCAGTGACCCAGACATTTGCAACCACCCAGGCTAGGAGCCAACTATGAGCTCATGGGCTGCTCGTCTAGCACTAACTTTCAGGTGCATTTGCTGCTGCTGCCCCCAAGGGGTAGGTGCTGTCTCTGTGTGTGTGTGTGTGTGAGTGTGTGCAAGCTAGTTGTAGGGCTTCGACGTGACGATAAACTCGCGCAAACGCCAATCCGCCCAGCGGTTCGTCAGTTGAATGCGCGTCGTTGCCCCGCACGGTGGGGCGCTAAAATATACATCTATATCTAAAGACTTTCAATACAGTTTGAGAAGCTCAGACAGACACGTGCCGCGCAAACTGTGGCTTAACAAGGAGTTTAAAGCCAGGACGTCTGCACCTCCTTTCTTTCTTTCATTTCGGGCAAAGTCTGGAGCAGCTCGAGCTGTTGTTCTTGGAGCGCGTACAGTTATCCGCTTGACTCGGTGCGGACGCAGGGGCGGAAGCCCTAGGAGTGTTGCCCCACGCTGTTGTTGTTGCTGTCGCTGGAAATCGTTAAAAAAAAAAGATAATCGAGAATAGAAAATAGCGAAAAACTAGCGACTATGTCACGAATTGTGTAAAGACCAATCTGCGCCGAGAAACAAAGAGAGCCAAACACCTGAAACATCAACACACACCTGGCGCCTGGACGCAGGATTTGGGCGATACGCATGGACAAAGGCACAATGAAGCGCAAGCAGCGTAGATACAGGTGAGCTACAGTAATCACCAGCTAGCGCGGACAGAGGCTAAGCTGAGCACGAAGTGGAGTGGAGCACCCGACTCTAACAAACTTCTACCTGCTCCAATCTCGTCCAGAACCACCTTCAACACGCTACAGCTGCAGGAGCTGGAGCGCGCCTTTCAGCGCACCCATTATCCGGATGTGTTCTTTCGCGAGGAGCTGGCCGTGCGCATTGAGCTGACGGAGGCGCGCGTTCAGGTCTGGTTCCAGAATCGACGCGCCAAATGGCGCAAACAGGAGAAACTGGGCCCCGCTGGCGACTACAAGGACGACGCTCCGCTCGAGCTGGATGTGGCGTTCGATGATAGCGCCGTGTTGGGGCAGCTGGACAGCGCCTTGGGTGAGTAGAGGGAGATTAGGGGAGAGATGTGATCAGGCTTAATACGGAGCTCCTTTTCACGCAGCTGGCGGCGGCACCTTGCTGCCGGATACGCCGCCGCAGTCTTCCAATTCGCTGGACAACGAGCTGAAGGCGCCTTATGGCACGGGCGGGCTCTCGCCCTCCCGGCTGTCGCCGAATATTTTTCTCAATCTGAACATTGATCACCTGGGACTGGAGCGCGGCGGCAGCGGTCTGTCCATGGAGTGGTCCACCTACCCGCCGTCCACACAGCCACAGCAGCAGCAGCAACAGTTGCAGGAGTCGCAGCAGCAACAGTTGCCGGAGTCGCAGCAGCAACATGTCTGCACGCTGCAGCATCAGGCGCTGGCGAGCGCCTTTGGCGCCTCACTCGACCTGGACATGAACGATGGCTGCTCGGCCTACGATGAGATGAAGTTTCTCAGCGTCGATCAGTTTACGATCGATAGCTTCAAGGCGGACTGCATACTCAGCATGGAGCATGACGCTTCCGCCGCCTCCGCCTCCGCCGCCGCCTGCCACTCTGCTGCCTTTGAGGCTCAGTCTCTGGCCACGGACAATGCTGCACTGCATTCACTTTGCCTGGACAGCATGAGTCTCGCGCCCAACTTTGGCGGCCTCTCGCTGCTCTCCGGCCAACTGACGGACGATGTCACGTCCGCAGAGGCGTCACCCAAGTCGCCGCCATCGCTGCTGGTGCTGGACAAGACGCTGCCCTCGCTGAGCATCGGTGTGGATGGCATCAGTGAGCTGGTCGAGCAGCTGCATCATCATCAACATCAGCTCAATCCTCATCATCATCTCAATCATCATCATCATCATCATCCACACGATGTCGGGGTCGGCGGCAGCGATGCAGTCTAACCGGAACATTTTTATTTACCTAGACAAATTCTAAGCATAGTTTAATGTTGTACGACTCTAGCTATAATCCGGGCCGAATACTCTTTATCACATGGATGGGATTTGACTTAAGCTCACCTGAATAAATGGCCAAAAAGTTGTTAATGCTTTGGTGTCGAATATGTTATTACGAAGGAGTTCTGGAAATAGAAACAATTTCTGGTTCTTGTTTGAGAAGAGTATTCAAATTTTGTTTGATATTTGAAAATATTTTCTGGCTCTCGAAAAAAACTGTTGATTTTTAGAAAATGTTTTTATATTTTATACACAAATTTCCGTACTTTAAAAAAAAATTACATTTGAAAAAAATTGTTCTGTTTTTAGAGACTTTTTTTTTTAATATTATTTTCTAAAAAATAGTTTTGGGCCAATTTTTAAAGGCAGATTTCAACATTTTAGAGCTATTTTTTTCTGATTATAAAACAAGTTTATATCTTGTTTTCCATACTGAAAAGAGTATTCAAGACTTCGGTCTTTATCGAAGTTTCGCCTAATTCCTTGCCTTTAGTTAATCTAATACGATCCTAGCCTTAATTTAAATAAACTTTTCTATATAAGAGCATATATAGCATATATATATATATATATATATATATATCTCTTTCGTAATATGAAAAGAGTATCCTATCTTCGGTTCATATCGAAGTTTTTTCAAGCTTGCCTTTACCTAGGCGAATACTAAATATAGTTAATGTTATGCGATTTTAGCTATAATTTTAAGATTTTAATATATCCCTTGGGAGACCTTTGTGTGCCTCGATAACTTGTAAATCTGTAAGTTTTTAAGAGAATGCTCTTTCGGAGGTTCTTCGTTTTCTGTGATTGTGTCTATCTATGATGGGAAATATCTTTTAAAGATATTGGAACAGCCTGAACGAGAGATTTGAATTGTTTTTCTAAGCGACATTCGAGTTGGTTTAATGGAGAGAACTTGGTTAACAAAGGTGTCCCCTCTGTAAATAACTTTGAGGAGCCTTTTTTTCGAATTAATAATGCCGATGGAATGCCGGAATGTAGCTTCAATCTTAGAGTCTATCCAGTCTGCGAGTCGACGAAGCTCTCTTTCCTCAATGGACTTTCCTGCCAGGGAAGAATAGATATTTTCCTTTTGGATGACAAGTGTGCTTCGAAGTTGACTTTGAGATGCAGTGAAACCTCATTTGTTGGCCTTAATATCAAGTGGAGACAATTTTGGCCAGGGAAAGGCGACAAAATGAAGAGTTCTGCAATTGAGAAAAACCTACATAAGTCAATTAATTATTTATTTTATAAAAAATGCGACTGTATCTCACATCAAACTTACCGATAATTTTAAAAAGAAAATTGTTACCAGAAAAAACTAATTATATGTACAGTAAAAACTCGCCAAATGGACAGCACTCGTGGGAGGTTTGTTTTATCTCTCAAGCCATTCTGTATCAGGCCGAACGCATTGCTCCTCTATTAGACGGACACTTCTCTTGAGCAACGGCCGCTGTCCGCCCAAAGGAGTTTTCACTGTGTATATAGCTAGTTTTTTGTGGCTTACATTTTCTTTTAAAGATTATCTGAAAGTTTTGAGCGCCTAATGCGTGTGTTTTAAATTCCATGCTCAAAATTCATGGAAACAGCAAAACCTGAAGCCATGTCCTTGCTCATACCCCCCCCCCCCTCCCTCTCTCTCTCTCTCCCTCTCTCTCTCTCTCTGTGTCTCTCTTTTTCGCTCAAGGTTCTGCCATTCCTTGAGCTGTTAGCCTGCCCAGCTCCTGCTTCTAAGGATTCCCATGCAGGCACACACATGTGTGTCGTAACAAAGGACGCCCTTGCCCCTGCCCCCGGTCCCTGCCCCCGCCCCCCCAGACTCCTCTCGTCAGTCAACAATTTTTGGTATTTGTGGCTCGGATTAGAGCCAAAAACTAATTGTATGATTTTGTATGTTGAATGGTTTTCGGGTTTCTCGGCTTGTTTGTTCGCAAATAACATTTGCCTGTTCCAACAATTGCAGCGACGCGTTGTGGCGCGCCGCGGGCACAATCTGCATCGTACCGACTCCTATTCCCCCCACTGCCCCTCTGCCCCACTGCTCCTCTGCCTCCCTCATCCGCAGTGTAATTTCCATTTAGCGTCATTAGCGGAATGTCTGTATCCCCCCCGTCATAAGCTGCATTGAAGGTCTAAGCTGGGCAAGTATATACGCCCTTTGGGGATCGCCCAGTCGCGAGCTTTGGTTTAAGCCCAGCGTCGCGATTCCAGCTCTCGGGCAGGTCCTCGCAGGCATTAACACATCTTTGTTAAGCTCTCTTTGTGGATTTGCCACGGCAGCCAACAGATTTCAGCTTACAGCCAGCCAATTGGCCCTGGAGTTGATGCATTCACAATTTTTATGCCCCAAACCTAATGTGTAAAAAAGGGTTTAATGTTCTTGAGCAAATGCAAAGGAAAATTTTAAAATTTATCAACTTTTTTTTTTCAATATTTCCAACAATTTTAATAATATCGATAAATATCGATTTCGAGAAATGGATTTTGAGGCACAACTAGAAAATTATCGAAGCTAAATAATTCAATCTTGGTATGTAGCTAATTGTAGGGTATATACAGCCTAAGTGAATTTCACATGCCTGCTGTACACCCTGTAAAACTGCAGATATCTCATTATTAAGGGCAGAGCCTTGCGCTCTGGTATACATGTTTGGAGAACCTCTCTATGCCATATTTAAGTCCTGCTAAAGTTATATAGATCGTACCCCAGTTAATCAAGAACAGGGTATGTCTCTCTCGGGCACGCCCGAGTAGAGCATACTTATTTGTGATTAATCCACTGGCGGCTGGTTGCCATTGGATAAGCCGCACAACAATGTGACGCAACGGAGCGCAACTGTCGCCAGGCATTTTGGGCACGGGGTTGGTCCCGGACTCTGATCCCAATCCGTGGCCCAGTCGGGCGTAGATCGAACCCTTTCCCCTTGGCTTCGACCTGTCAGACGGCGCACACATGATTTGAAATTAATCGAAAATGTTTCGTGCATGTTTAAAGGAGCACTTGAGGCTGTGTATGCACAAGGACCACAAACTTTAATCGATAGTCAAATAAGCCAAGACTGGCCCACCTCCCTGTGTGTGTGCGTGTGTGTGTGTGTGTGTGTGTGTGCGTGTGTCGCCGGCAAGGATAACAGGGACAATATATAACGTTGCCACATTGTTTCCTTATGCTCCGGCGCTCGCTCTGCTTTTGTAATTTCTCTAACGTTTGTTTATATTTTATATTGAATTCGCCTCGGGCCGCATAAACGCAATAATCGCACATTTTATGGATTAAACTCACCTGCTCGCCAGCTAATCTATTAAAAATTTAGCCCCAGGACAATGAAGTCTGCTTTTGTGCGTTTGGCTCTAATTGGAGTTTTTCTCTTCGCTCGGATGAAATGCGATAGAAAATTGGAAAACCCCAAAACGAATCCTTTACACACTTTGGGCATTAGGTTATAGAAGAATATCAGATGTTAGGATTGCTTTATTTGGTTAATAAACTTACTGGCAGACTGATTGATAGAATGATTGACTGACTGACAGTCTATGGTCAACCAATTCTCATATTGTCCGATTGTTTAACTGCTAAAAAGAAAAATTGCGTAACTGGATGTGATTGGTTAATCCATCAGCTGATTGTCTGATTGATTTAAAGATTGACAGACTCATTGATAGTATGATTGACTGACTGACAGCAAGTGGTCAATCAATTGTCATATTGTCTGACTGATTGATTTATTGACAAACTGATTGGTCAATCTATTAGCTTATTGTCTGATTGATTTATTGAATGACAGGCTGATTCCTTGAATGATTGACTGACTGACAGTAATAAATCAATCAATTTTTATATTGTCTAATTGATTAACCTATTGACAAATTGATTGATAGAATAATTGACTGACTGACAGTAATGGGTCAATCTATTGTTATATTATCTGATTGATTGATTTATTGAAGAACTGATTGATAGTATTATCGAATGGCTATTTACAAACTGATTGATACAATAACTGACTGACTGACAGTGATTGGTCAATCTATTTGCCTATTGTCTGATTGATTTATTGAATGACAGACTGACTGACCGTAATGGGCCAATCAATTGTTATATTACCTGATTGATTGATTTATTGACAAACTGATTGATATTATTATTGACTGGCTGACAGTGATCGGTCAATCTATTGTTATATTATCTGATTGATTGATTTATTGAAAAACTGATTGATAGTATTATCGAATGGCTATTTACAAACTGATTGATAGAATAACTGACTGACTGACAGTGATTGGTTAATCTATTTGCCTATTGTCTGATTGATTTATTGAATGACAGACTGACTGACAGTAATGGGCCAATCAATTGTTATATTACCTGATTGATTGATTTATTGACAAACTGATTGATATTATTATTGACTGGCTGACAGTGATCGGTCAATCCATTTGCTTATTTGTTTAATGATTGACAGACTGATTGATCGAATGATTGACTGTTTGACCAATTGAAGATCATCGTACTGCTCAAGCTGTAAGAGCTCGAAGGAGCATAATTCAGTATGTGCTTCGTCCAGCTAAAGACCCTGTCCAAGCAAGGGTATTTGGAATGAATTACTAATGGGATTGTTGGAAATGTTAAAATATCGAAATACTGAAATCTGTGCCTTTAACAAAATGACTTATTCATTATGGAGTTTATTCATTTGCCGTCGAGTCATCGCGCTCTGTCGACGAAATATTAAATAATGAAATATTAAAATCAATGTGAATGTACAAGAGCTGAGGGAATGGAAATGGAGTATGGAGGGGAGGGGGCGTGGCCCAGTCCTCAACAAACGACGAGGTGTTCATGTGAATAAATTGCAATTAACAATATTATTTTTTGTTTCAACAAACGGAAACGCGGAAGCTGCCCGCCATTTGCGAAAGGACTCGCACATAAAAAACGGCTCTCATTTAATTAAAGGCAAATTTAATGGGTAAATATTTCATGTGGTCTATGCACACACACACACACACACACACACACACATGTGTATACGAAGAAAAAAATGATATACATATGTATATGCCGCTTAAATGTTGGCATAATTTTTATTTTAAAAACAAAAACTTTTGGCGCTGTATGCCATGTAAATAGGATGTAAAGGATACGCGGCACCATGTGCCGGCACAGGACGCGTACATATATTAAATTTCCTGTTGATAGAGTAGAAAGAAAAAAAAACAAAAGAATGCAGGGGAAAAATAATAAAATGCGAAGCGTGCACTACAAAAACAAAAGAATATAAAAATAGTGCAAAGAAATCAAAATTAATAGACTGCAAATATTTGTAGATTTTTACACGAGCTATTAACAAGGCGCAAACACACAAAAAAAAAAAAAAAACGGCCCGATAAATTGAGGCTAGCCCGAAATACGAAACACGAAACTCGAAACTCGAGATGTCAACGACAGGAACGGAGAGAGAGAGAGCAAAAAAAAAAAACCTAGAAAAACAGATAAACAGAAAAACAGAGCACCGAAAACAGACGACCTATGCAAATAGTCTGCGCTAGTGAGAGGTACGGAGCATACAAAATGGCGACGGCAACCAAATCAAAGATGGTGATGGCCAAATGAGGGGGGGGGGGGGGGGGCGGTCACAGCCAGGAGAGGGGGAGTGGGAGCTGGGGCGGAGCAGTAGATAAATTTGAATTTTGGTCACCTGACATGAACTCTGGCACTGGTCAAAGGGAAATAACAAGACAAAGATGTCAAAAAAAATGAAGAGAAAAAAAAACAAATAGCAACACACGACAAAAATGGTCCCAAAGCGGAAGGCATGACAACAACAACAACAACAACAGCAACAACAACAACAACAATGGCAAAAACTCTGGCACGACAAAGTCTTTGTTCAAATGGCCATTCAACTGTAAATTGCAAAATACAAAACATGCAGAAGAAGCAGCACCAGCAGCAGCAGCAGCAGCAGCAGAGAGCAGGCTGAAAGATGCTTGACAAGAGCCGTTACAAAATAGTGGGCTGGCGCACAGGCGGGCGTTACATGTGCCAGAAAGAGATAGCAGCAGCAGTTAGCTACAGTGTTTGTGTGTGATTGTGTGCGCGTGTGTGTGCGTGTTGGTAAATTGCAAAAATGCAAATGAAAACGGACAACAGTTGAAACAAGCTCAAGAAGAAGAAGAAGAACCGACAGCAGCAGATATGCTAGATAGCTGCAGATACACTTTAAAAAAAAAAGCAATAGTGTAAATTATTGTATGAACAGATTAAAAAGCATGAAGTAATTTTAAATAAATTGATATTTAAACTAAATAAAAATGTAAATTAAAAAAAAAAATAAGAAAGAAAACTAGATAGAAAATACAAATTAAATCAAGAAAAAGAAAGAGTTGTGCTTTAAAAGTCAAATAAATAGATAGAAAATATAATTGCGTAAGCCATAAAATGACATGAAAATTATATGCTAACATATTAAAATTAAAGAAAAAAATAAAACAAAAGAAAGCTAATTAATAGTAAAATAAAAACGAAAAAATAAAATATAAAATAAAAAAAAAGACAGAGTTTTCTTTTAAACTTAAATAAATAAAAGACAAATAAAACAAATGAAATTAAATTAAATAAATTAAAAATTGCCTGTGTTAGTCACAAATTGTGTACTTTGCAAATAAAATACTTCAATTAAATGGGAAAGAAAGGAAAAACCAAAAAAGGAAGAATTTGTGCATTTCAAATTAAATAGATAGGAAGAAGAAAATGCTTGCCTAAAACATGAACCAATATGTGCTCAATATAAATACAATATTTGTTAGCTTGAGAACTTTATTTTAGTCTCGTATTTGGAATTTTGTGGCATCAAAGTCTTGATATCTTTATATAAGAATTATAGTTGAAAACATTCGGGATCATAACAATTCCTAAAATAGGAATTACTTAGACAGTAACTGGAATTTGATGCTTCGAGTACAACATGTTTGGCATTTTTTGTTCGAGTGTAGCTCCCTTAACTGCGCTTGCCTTGGGGCTGGCCCCGCCTCCGCGTTTTGCTGCTGCATAGCTTTAGCTATAGCTGTGCATCTGTATATAAGTTTATGTATATAGATATCTGAATCTGAATCAACTGCGAGTTGGCCCGTAAATTGATTTTGGCCTTTAGCATGACAAGGAGCGCCCGCAAGTGCGCCCATTCAGCTCTGTTGGCCCTTGGCCTTTGCGCTTTTGGTCTCAATTTGCATCTTGGCTGGAACTTTTTGGGGAACTGCTCGTATTACCTGTCTGTCCCTAGCCAGGTGTGAATAAGGCGCGCAGGGTCTTCTTCGGCTGTTTAGAAACTTTGGCAGCGAAATAAAAGCTTGATTTTGTTCTTTATATTTTTGCTCGATTTCTTTTGGCTTGGTTTTTATTATTATAATTACTTTGTGTGTTGTTTTTTTGTTTTTTGTTTTTGTTTTGTTTTAAGTGTGGTTTAATAATTTAAATTTAACATTACATTATTTATGCTGTTATCGTTATCGGTGATCGGTTATCGATTTGTTTACACTTACAACTAATATGCGCTTTACTTTTGGGCAATGGGACACAAGACAACTAGATAAAAAATCACATGCACACACGCACACGCACACACACACACACACACACACATACACAGATACACGCACATACATTTAGTAGACTGTACATTTGGCTAATTCTGTGCAGCTTTTGTAGCTGCCTCTTAAAGTCTTAACAACTTAAAATAATAACAGTTTTTGTTCCTTTAACTTCTCTTATTTATATACAAAACAAAATTGAAGCGCCGCCGCAAATATTTACATATATATTTTATTGATCCTGCTTGGGGCTTAGGCCACCTCCAGATCGGAGGATTCGTCCGCATCGCTGTAATGATTCGGATCGCTTTTGATGTGCACCAGCTGCGGCGCATAGTCGCATTTGATGCCGGCGTTGCCAGCTGTTGGTGTGCCAGTGCTGCCATTGTTGTTGCTAATGTTGTTGTTGGAGCTGCCAGAGCTGCTGTTGTTGTTGTTGTTGTTGTTGTTGCTGCTGTTGTTGCCGTTGCTGGTGGTGCTGCCACACTGCTCCTCCTGCAGCTTACGCAGTCGCTCCTGTTCCTCGCGCTTCTGTTTGCGCCACTTGGCCCGACGATTCTTGAACCAGACCTGCGATAAGAGGGGATAAGAGGGTGTGTTAAAATCTTGATTTAGTCAAGGCAACCTTTGATATGGCTTCAAAAACACTTTCATCCGTTTTTCAAATTATATTTTCCATTATGCCCCCCGCGCGTTTTCTTGTTTTCTGTTTTTTTGCCCCGCTCTCGACTGTAAATATTTTAATGTTTTTTCTTCTGCGATTTTTTGTATGGCTGCCCTTTTATTATTTGATTTATCTGCGCCAAGTCCGTTGCCTGACAACAGCCCCAGCCTGGCCGTAACACCCCCCCCCCCCTCCCACCCTTCGCTCTGCTGCCAGTTTAGCTGCCTAATTAGTTAGCTGATTGTAACTGTAATTAATGTGAAGCAAAAAAAAACCAAACAGAGTTCTTGTTTGCCCCGTTTTCCCTGTTGCTCTAGAATTGTATATTTTGGGTTTTTTAATTAGGCGCAGGCCACACCCATTCTCTGTTGTTGGGGTCGTCCGGGCCAACCCTTGGCTACTTAGTTAATTAAAACAAAAGCTTCAGTCAACTGAATTAGGGGTTAATTTGCTCTGCTTAAAATGGGGCGGGGGTTGGGGGTGTTGTATGGGGGTAAGAGGCCCTCCCTCTCTCTCTCTCTCTCTTAGGGCAGCATCTGCTACGCGTATCTCTTGTCATTTTGGGCAGGAGTTTCATGTTGTTCCTATTGTTGTTGTTGTCTCATTGGCAACGGGGTGGAGCCAAATAAACCGAACAGCCTCGCCCAATCCCAATGCCAATTGCAGTGGCAAAAATTTTCAACCCTCGGCGCAGTTTTATTATTGTTTGTTAAATAAATACTCAAATTGTTGTTGCAACTGTTGCACAGAAAAAATAAGTTTAATTACAAAAAAATTAGCACGAATTTGTGTAGTTGAATTCTCCCCCTTCCCCCCCTTCAATTGTTATCATTGTCGGTAAAAGTTTGCTCAGTGCCACGCCCCCAACTGCCGACCGCGCGCCCCAACAAACAATGTTTATGCAGCAAATCGACTGAATTTGTTGAAATAACAGTGAAAATAACGGCAGACAGCAGCTGGCTGGGCCAATGACACGCGGGCTAGCCAAGCCAAGTGCACTGCAGTGCAGTGTTGGAAAATGCGCTAAACTCATAAGCAGAGCGGCTGACCAGCCCCAGCCAGATAACGGAACTCAACTCAGCTCAAGCTCATTTAAGTTTTGTAGCAATTTGTATTAATTTGTGTAAATTTGTGCAGCTGTTAAAGAGAAGCGTTGAGGGGGGGCGTTGGTTGTGGATGGTGAGGGGGGGGGAAGGGTGTGTGGGTGCGGGTCTGGCATTGCCTGGCTTATTTGCTTAGGATGGCAGCAGCAGCAGCAAAATGGCAAAATGGCGGCTCCCTGGCAACCTTTGAGCTTTGCGTTCAGCTGGCAACGCCAGCCCAATTTGCATGCTCTTTGAAGTTTTTGGGCAGCACTGGCAACAGTGGGCATGGTCACGCCTCGCTGCAGCTGTCAGAATGCATTTGCCCCTTTGACAAAAATGTAATTTTGCCAAAAACTAATGAATTTTTGATTTCAAATAATTACATTTACAAAATTGCCTACAGCTATGCAGGTGCATGAGTGTGTGTGTGTGTGTTTCTCTATTTATTTTCATAATTTTATGAGCTTAAGTTATTAAAACAACACGCATAGAAATAATCTGCTGGCATTTTGATGCGTTTTTTAAAAATCTCAAAACAGCAAACACATCAATAGAAAAAAACCACGTTGCACAACGGGGGAATACCCTGTACTTCAATGTTGTTAGGAATAATTATGAAATTGGGTTAATATAATTATTGAATGCAGAAAGAATTTTGCAAAAAACTTGGTATATGAGATGCTGCTAATATTAAGGCCACGACATCTAAGATTCTCGCAAACTAATTAAGTTTTTCTTTTGTTATATAATCATACATATAACCAACCCATACACCCATTAATTATAGGGTATATGCCATTATTAGTCATGAATTTAGTCAGCCGCTTAATTCTACAAAATATATATAAAATTGCCTGTGAAACAGTTTTAATAACCAAAAAAATAAAAAATGCCACCATTTTTTTCGGCTTGCGGTTGTTGCTGTTGTCGCCGATGCTTATAAAAGTTTCATATTTTAATTAAACTGTTAGCCAGCCGGCTGTCCGACGCATTGAACTCTAATCCGCCGGGACAGCGAGCCGGAGGGGAACGGGGCGGACTGCGGCTCGTATGTGAGTTTGCGGGCAAAAAACCTAATCCCGTAATTTCTACGGCCAACAACGGGCGGGTTTTGGCTATATTTGTACATATAAGTCATATGTGTGTGTGGGTTTGTGTGTGTGTGTGTGTGCGGTCGCTTGACCATGCCCCTCAGCGCGGGCGGCTGCCAGCCCGTTTAAAATCTGACTAACGCACAACATTTGCAATAACCGCGGGCGCGTTTTTTGCAGCGCGGGCAAAAGTTGCCGAAAAATCGCACTGAAAATTTGAGAAATTAAATAAACACAAGTCCAAAAAAGGCAATTGGTGCACGGGGAGAGGGGGAGGGAGGGGGGTTGTTTGCGGTGCAAGCGTTGCCCATGTGTATCAATGAAAATGCGCGCATGCAAATTGATGCAGTCGGTCGTGCGATCGGGGGACTGGCGGCAACGACGGCGACGACTCCAAAAAAAGTGGCTCGCAAACACAACAAAATGGCCGCCGCTGGAAGCGACAACTTGGCATGCATGGGCAGCACTGCGACCGAAACGGAACGGAACGTAGCGGCAGCGTCTGGCAAATATTGCCACAGATTTTTCAGGCAAAAGCGCATAAATCGCTGATACGTCGAAATCCGCGCCAGTGCTGAAGTGATGGTCGCTGCACGGGGGGGAGGGGGCTGGGCAGGCAGCGTACGGCATTGGTGTAGCGTGCATGAAATCCATTGAACAAACAGACCGACGGCAGTTGATTTTTAATTAACTACAAAAGCGCTTTATGGCCGCCGCTTGGCCAGACACGAGTTGCCACCGAGTTGAGGGAGGGGTTGGGGGCGAATGGGGAGCAGTGTGGCAGCCAAGCGACTGAAACGTGCCATTTTCTGTTATTGTTTGATTTTTGGCAACGTAAAATGCTAACCAGTGCTGCCCATGCTGGATTACCAAAGTGCACTCCAGCGTCAAATGTTGCCACATAGCTGCATAAACACATCTGCACATGTATGTGTGTGTGTTGTATGGTCACATTGCCGTTGTGCTATGATAACTTTGCGCTTCGTTAATCGCCGCAGCTGTGCGCCTAATTTTCATGTTTTTGCAGCCTCGCAAAATGTAGCACAAACCCAAGCAAAACTCTGCAAAAGTCAAGTCGAAAAATTGTCCCTCCAGTTGATTGGCACATGTGTGTGTGTCTATCTCCCTCTCTCTCTCACACTCTCTTCCCGTGTGGATAGGTGGAGCCTGGGGGGCACACAAAATGGCGGCTGCCTTTGCAGAGTGCACAACGAGCTCGTTGCTCTAATTAGTGAAAATTGGCAGCGCAAGTCGGTTGGAAAGTTCGTCACCACCAGAGGCAGTCGTTGTTGTTGCTGTTGTTGTTTTTGTTGCTGCTGTTTCCGTGTTGTTGGATTAAAATTCGCGCAGCCGTGAAAATTGCTCGTTACGCATTTGCCAGTGCCGGAGCCTGGCTGTAGTTGGCTTCGGTTTGGTTTTATAACGCAACACAGCTGACGCTTGAAATGCCTTTAACTGGTTGCGTGCATGTGGTACGCACTAATTAAAGGCGTCAAATTGACGTCACAATTGCAGTTGGGCTTATACATTTTTGTTAAGCTAAGCAACACTGGAGTGCAACCTCTCTTCCAGTAACTGTCCACTTGAGTGAACTGCAAAGATGTTCGCTTTAAATTCGTGGAATATGAATAGCAGAAACACGGAACAAACATACGGTAAAATCTCTGTTAACATATCAAGCTTATTCGCATTGTTATTCATGTACGGCCTCACACTGTTAATTGCATGCCAATCGGAATTCTTTAACAGCGCCTAATAAGTGCTGTAAAGTATGTTAGCTATCGATCATAATCGAACTATCTATGCAGTCTAGTGTGGCAATGTTAGTTATCGATAATAATCGAAATATCAATGCAGTTTAATTTTGGCAAGCAGAAGCCAGACATAAAGTGTGAATTAATTAATTAATTAAAACAATGCCAAGCCACAGTTGCTTGCAAGTGTATATATAAATACGTATATATGTGTGTGTGTTAAGTGAGCGTAAGAGAGAGCACATTTAATTGAAATCACAAGCATAAATTTGGCGTAATAGACAAGCCAGGATCAATGCTCTCACAGCTTGCCCAGAAGTCAGGTGATATTTGGCACGCGTTCTTATTGCAAGTTGCTTAAGTTTCTAAAAGTATGTGTGTTCATTACGCTGCCAGTGTATAAAATAATAAATCAATTAAATAATATGGTGCATTTGAAAAGCAAAGTGGTAACAATAACTGTAAATGCCAGACGCGTGTTTAAGCAGCGCCAGTCACTCTCTTCCCCACTCTCATTTGCACTTCGATCGCATGCAAAGCAAAGCAGCCGGTAAAGACAAAACAGAAGCCAACAATTGCGGTAATCGATGCTAAGCTAGCGCGTACGACAGAGATGGCGCGATTTTTGCATGGCTGAGTGAAACATTCGTTTACGTTTGAGCGATAAGGCTCGCTGCAATAATGTCAGATCGCAGCTTAGGCTACACTAAACAACAAAAACTAAGAACCGTAAAATAATGTGAATTGCGACAAGTTGAAATTACTTAAGGTTGTAAACGTATGTGTTTATATTATGCTGCCAGTGTATAAAATAAATTTCAAGTGCAAAGTGGTAAGCACAAGAACTGTAAATGCTAGAAGTATGCTTAAGCAGCGCCACTCACGCTCTCTCCCCCACTCTCTTTTGCAGTTCGATCGCGTGCAAAGCAAAGCAGCCGGCAAAAACAAAACAGAAGCCAACAATTGCGGTAATTTG